AAGGAAGAAAAACAAAGGAGAGAGAGAAAGAAAGAAAGGCAGAGAGAGAGAGAGAGAGAGAGAAGGAGGGAGGGAAGCAATTAGAGGCTGGCCTTCTTGCCCAAAGTTATCCTAGTGGACACAGTTCTAACATAGACTTGTGACTCGAAGGTCTTGCCTCTGAGCCCGTGTGCTATTCTGCCTCCACATTATAAATGCGCAGTACTGACCAGGAAAGAAATGCCTACTTTGAGCATCCCACTTACCAGAAGCTTGCTCTCCTCGTTTGGAAAGAGCAGCCTAATTGCGAGGATGTCCTATTATACAGCGTAAGTGTGTGACCTGGAGAACCACTGCCCAGATCTGCTGACAAGGAACCGTCTGCCCAGCTCTGCCTCTCCCCAGGTCATGCCATTTCCCAGGATGGATCCCATCCAATAGCTGGCTCAGGAGGGTTTCCAAAGGTCTGACTGTTTAGGCCCAATCACTCTGATGGGCCAAGCTAACAGCACAGCCTCCAGTGGGGCTGCTGGAGGGTGTGAGGTAACATGGCAGTTCTACGTCTCCTTCCCTTCCGGCTGCTTCCTGTCCCTCCTAGCACAGGTGGTGACCCTGTGGGCATTCCTTAATCAACATCCTGCCATTCTGTCTCAGAGCCTGGGAAGATAGGCTAATGACATCAGTTCTACAAACCAAAAGGAGTCTGTGTTCTCCTACTCTTCCATCTGTAACTTCCTTCCATAATAGCTTCCTTGGATTTTTTTTTTTTGTTATAGATAGGTATCTATACACATTTATTTATAAAATTTGATAAAAGTGTTTTTCCTCAGCTGGGTGCTGATGATTCACACCTGTAAGCCTAGCTACTCAGGAGGCTGAGATCTGAGGATCAAGGTTCAAAGCCAGCCCCAGCAGGAAAGTCCTGTGAGACTCTCATCTCCAATTGTGGTGCAAAGTGGTAGAGTTCTAGCTAGACTTGAGCATCAGGGCTCAGGGACAGAGTCCAGGCCCTGAATTCAAGCCTCATGATGGACAAAAAAGAAAAAGTTTCTCCTCAAAGGTAACTATACAAAACTGTAACCCCCTAGTTTAATACACTATAGTGTTTAGCTTTAGGTTCACATGAAAACTGAGAAGGGCAGAAGGTAGAGATCTCTTGTATATTGATCTTCCTTCCTCTCCCTCTCAGCATCTATTTCGCTTAGTTTTAGTACTTGATATTGATGGTAGAAGACCTCTTTACAACCAAAACTTTCATTAAAAGTTTCTCTGGATGTGCCACTGCTATTTTTTTTTAAATATACGAGTACTTAGCAGTCTTTATTCTTTTTTAAAAAAATTGCCTGAGACCAGGGCTCAAATTCCCTATCTGATGCTTGCTTTCTCTCAATGCTGACAATCACATTTAATTCTAATAAGCTCTTGTCTTGGGCCTAGGGCCTAAGGTTGCTCCTTTAGATTTTCTGAGGGCCAGCATTCCATCATAAAATTGGAATCATTACTTTTTGGAGCACTTAGATAATGTTTCTCTCCTTCTTCTTCCTCTTCCTCTTCTCCTTCTTCTTCTCCTTTTTTCTTCTTCCTTCTTTCTTCTTCTTGTCCTGGAGCTTGAATTCAGAAGCTAGTTCTCTACCACTTGAGGTACAACTCCATTTCCTGCTTTTTGGAGGCTAACTGGAGAGGAGTCTCACAAATTTTCCTTCCAGGCTGACTGCAAACTGCAGTTTTCAGATCTCAGCTTCAGGGGCAGCTAGAATTATAGGCCTGAGCTACCACGATTAGATAACATATCTTAACAGCAGTCAAAGTATCTAGTGTTAAGTATTGAGAAAGAAGACATTTTGTATAAAGTTCAGGGCTCATGGTTCCTGTGGTTTCGGTATTCTATTTACCACTGATTGGCAGATCAATACAATAGAAATTTATTGTCACACGTGTGGAAAGACATCTAAACTCAGTTTCACTGGTCTAAATCAGTAACCCAGAGGAGAATTCTTTCTTGACTCTGCTTTTCTTTCTTTATTTCTTTCTTTTTTGTCGGTCATGGGGCTTGAACTCTGGGCCTGGGCGCTGTCCCTCAGCTCTTCAGCTCAAGGCGAGCGCTCTACCACTTGAGCTACAGCGCCACTTCCGGTTTTCTGGTGGTTTATTGGAGATAGGAGTCTCACGGTCTTTCCTGCCCGGGCTGGCTTTGAACCTCGATCCTCAGATCTCAGCCTCCTGAGTAGCTAGGATTACAGGCGTGAGCCACCAGCGCCCGGCTGCTTTTCTTTCTTATTACTGCCAAATTACTTCAATCAATGTCTGCCTCCAAGCTCACCTGTCTTCTTTCTGTGAAATCTCCCTGTGCCTTCTTGTTGAAAGGATACAAGCGACTGCAATTTGGGTTAAATAATTGCCCCAACTTGAGACCCTTAATTTAACTCCCCCTGCAATAACTCCAATTTCTGTGTCTGGTAACATTTACAGATTCCAGAGATTAAAACTTGGTATGTTGCAGAGGGGGGGGGGGAATGGGTCATTTCCCAGCCTCCCTCCCAGGGTGATATAGTTCTTGCTTTGTCTTCCTAAAGCATAGTCCTAATATTTCACTTTGCTGCCACTAAAATTGTCCTTTGTCCCTTCCATCTGCTAGGCAGATGGCTCACGCCTGTAATTTTAGTTACTCAGGAGGCTGAGATCTGAGGATCCCTGTTGGAAGCCAGCCCAGCCAGGAAAGACCATGAGACTCTTCAACTCCAATAAGTTACTTAGAAAAAGCTGGTAGTGGCTGCTGTGATTCAAGTGCTAGCCTTGAGTACTAAGAAGATCAGGGTCAGCACCCAGACCCCAAGTTTAACCTTCAGGTCAGACAGACACACACACACACACACATCTGCTAGTTTTTTGAGATATATTTGATATTTTTCCTTCCTGTTCCAGAAGGGACCCAAGCTTGGACAGGCAACTGTGTAACTGTCTATAAAGTCTCAGCAGCAGACACCACTGAGGTTTGAGGGACATCTTTTCAAGGTTTTGATTAGTGGATGGGTTCTGATGTCATTTCCCAGTTTTACAGTCTCCAGGCATCTCTGATTCAGTAGACTGCGTGATGTATGAATACAAGTTGTGTGTGTATGTTCCAAAGGATTCTCATCATCAGCCAAACATTGATTCTTTTTCCACAAAGCTCTGGACCCAGACTCTCCTGAGAGGGCATCCCCCCTTCCTGCCCCCTGAGTGCGACGTGGTTACACGACCGACTCTTTAAAAGTTCCAATGGAAAGGGTGGAAAATACACGGTCAAGAGGGCAATCCTGAGAAGGGACCACCTGCTCCGTACAGGATTCGCGGAGAGAAGTCTCCTCCCGGGGAAACTTCCAGGCCCAATGCCAGGGAGGACGGGTTTGGCCGCCGGGCAGCGGTCCTGAGCGCGGTGCGACCTCGTGGGTCTGCGGGATCGAGGCCGGCCGCGCCCTCCAGCCCCGCCCCGGGCGTAGACAGATCCCCTGGCATCGGGGTGGACCGAGGAGGGGCTCCCGGGACCCCGTCCACCGGACGGGGTGTGTCACGGGAAGGGGGACGTGGGGGGGGGAGAGGTGTATTTATTCCCCTGGGCCCCGGGCCGGCCCCCTCGGCGCCCAGGGGCTCTGTCCGTCCCGCGTCCGGAGCAGGCTGGCGGGCTGGTTCTTTGGGGACAGCCGAGGCCCCAGCGCCCGGCCAGGTGGGGGCAGCCGCGGATCGGGAGGAGGGCGCCGGGAGCCCCGGGGCCTGGAAGAGCGAACGCGCGGGGCGACGGACTCCCATCCATGGAAAGATGGGGCGCAGCGCCGGGGGCGGCAGATCCGGCGCAACCGGGGTGACTGGGGAGCGGGCGGGGGCCTCAGCCGAGCCAGGTACGCGCGACCCGGGCCCCGCAGCCGTCGGCCTGGGGCGCTGCCTGGCCCCCTCCGGGGGTCGGCGGGGTGCATCCTGCCATTCTGTCTCAGAGCCTGGGAAGATAGGCTAATGACATCAGTTCTACAAACCAAACTCATTTCTCTTCTTCTTAACTGTGAAATGATAACTGGGGATACAGTGCTCTTTTGACTCTTAGATCTGGGTGCCAGTGGCCACATATATGGT